GGCCTATGTTTAGCAGTCGATCTCCTATGGCTGAAATGATGATGATGATGACGATGAATCCTCATCATCATCACGACACCTATTATTCTTCTCCACTGAGGGTTTGGCCTTTACACTCCCAAAGCTGGTAAGACGTATTATGGTGGCCTGATGTTTGCATATCCCTTAGCTCTAAGTCCACGATTTTCTTGGTGGATTTGGGCTGCACTCCCCATGCTTAGGTTAGGGAGGCCTGATGTTCGCATAATAATATATTGTCTCTGCCCATCTTACCATGAATGTACTGGAGAGCCCCCAGCCAGGTGAACTGCAGATCAGTCAACGGGCCCTCCCCAGGATCGTAGCCAGGGTCGTCGTGGCATTCGAAGAACTGGCAGACGACTAGCGAGATATCTGCAGAGATTTAAAAGTAAAATAACTTATGCTCATTAATTATCAATAGCATGCTTAGAGAAAAACCTTTTATTTCATCTTTTTCAGGGTATTTCATGAATGTATTTCCATTTAATATTTTTACAATAATGCAGTTTTTATGGATTGCGGTATGCGTATTAACGCGACTTTCGGTGACAAAAACAGCTCTATAAATTGAACTGCTTACAAAATAATTCTACATAATATTATCAAGTTTTTTCATGAAAACACTTCTATTATCACTTCTTGATTATCTAATAGGTCTACAACCAAGTCATTTTTCCAATAAACATATTATTCGAGTGGCTATTTAGAAGATGCGAATAAAAATGGTATGAATTAATTGATTTAATTAATTATTTATCCACAAACAATGTCACCAATAACGTTTTTTGAGTAAATTAACAACACCCACAAAAAATCAAAAAGAAAGCTGCAACTTTTTTCCACATCGAGGCTTTTTAACTTCAAACATTGAACCAATCAACTCTTAACTGAGCAAAGAACAATGATTGAGTATGAGATCTCCGTAAGATTGTTGAAGTTTAAGGAATGTATGTTGAGAATTTAGATACACAAACAATGTATAGCCGACAATACCTTACAAGCCATGCAAGATTTTTTAAGGAATGTTAAGAATTTTAAAGTTACTTTTGCCCGCGGCTTCACTCGCGTTTATGTCTCTATCACGATCAAAGACTAATTTAATTTATCAAAAATCTATAATAATATGTGTATTACATAAACATTGATTTATTACTATGTTTTAAATGCATAACTACCTCTTTTAAAATGTATTTTTCTTTGCCTTTATATGTATGGCTTTTATTTCTGAAATAAAAAATATTATTGCTAGTTAGTAGGTATACCAAAGACGATAAATAAAATAACTGTAAGTTCCCTCTTCAACCGAAATTCATGGAGATTGGTTCAAACAGGAAAAGGTAACAGACAAAAATTTACTTTCTCTTGTTTAGTTCTTGCTTTGTTTGTATTTAGAAAGTCCTTTTAAATATCCTATTGGTCAATCAATATATTAAAAAGAAATATCGAGAATTTCACCTAAGAAGTTTATACAAAGTAAGCTATCTGATGACAGAAACTCCTATTCACCCTTATATCCCTATACTATATTTTCCCTTCAACATACACATAAAAGGAAGTTACTATACTTATATCAAGTGAAATAGGAACTTATATTCCAAACACATAAGTAAAGACCTAATAAAGACATAGTCGATCAACATTGCGATCGCAATGGGGTAATAGACGACATCCTCTATTTCCCAAACGACCCATGGCATGGTGATTGTTCCCCGGCCTTATGGCGGCACGCGTCGGAATTCGATTCCGATATTGACCATAAGGTTCAGGGCTGCCTGTTAATAAAATAGATAAATAATAAAATAGACACCATTCCCGACTGCGGCTCTGGGGTGATATATTTTTTATTTTGTGTGTATTGACACTAATATTACAGAAATGAAGTTGTAGAAATCCTTGAGGATACATTTGGTCCAGCAGTCGACGCCATTTGGCTGAAACGAACGAATATTACACTCTGTAAATTAAATGTTTGTCACATTTGCAAAAACTAAACGACTGACAATTCAATCAATTTTGGTGTAACAAATACAAAACATAGGCTACTCATTGTTGCGAAAAAACTTGACTGGGACTTACTGGGACCAGGGTATTCTTAATAGGGCTCTTGAAAAAAAAGGAGTGTTTCTGAAGCTATACTTAGATAGGTTTTGCTGCTATGATTTTGAAGATGGAATCACAGAATAATAATAAGTACTACGTACAGAAGTTTTTTTTTTTATTATTTTCTATTGACGTTCATAAGTGCCACTTGTGGTGTAAACTGAATAAATATTTTTGATTTTGATTTTGATTTTGCGAAGGTATTTAAAAAAATGTATGCTCAATGTCATTAACCTGTAGGTGGGCCATCGTGCGTGTTTTGTTTTCGATGGAAACTCGCGGAGATGAACAGGCCTGATGGAATGTCAAACCCCTGGGCTCATGGCCGACTGATTGAATTTTTTCTTGTTCTTCTTATCGTGTCGACAACAAACCTACACAGTGTCAGCCCAAAACTCTGGCGGCTCTGTGTTTCGTCTCGATGGGTCTCTTGCACGCAAATAATTATGTTATATCCCTAGTTTTATCCTGAGTAATTTAGCAGGAAGTTTCAGAATCATAAAAGCGTTTGGACACAACCCTGTTATATTTTTTATCATTCCACCAGCTGAGGAACTCCATTTGCCTAATAGCAGTAATAGCAGTAACAGCGTGGTTGTCACCAATAGTAACTGTACAGCGGCATCCGGTCCGGAGCTATAAAGCCGCCCGGCGCCTCCTGACATCTGCTGAAGGAATTCCACAAGGAGCTACGTCCTTTGGATATGACCAGACAATCTGTATCATTTATGCTTTATTCAGGCTAGCGTAGGTACATTTCTAAGGTATGTAGGTAGTATTTCTTAGGTCATCATCATCATCATCAACAGTATTTCATAGTCCACTGCTGGACTAATGCCCGTTTTCACCATAAATCCCTAATTTTTAAGCTACCCTATAGTGACACATGACAGGAATTTTGTTTTCATATGGGTCACTAAAAATAGGAATTGATGGTGAAAACGGGCATAAGAGCCTCCTCCACTAAAGTGGAGAGTTTTGCCATAATCCTAATTTCTTAGGTTTTTTTTCCCATAATAATGGTACCAACTGTGGAGTAACATATTTTATAAGGTTCTGTACCCAAAGGGTAAAAACGGGACCCTATTACTAAGACTTCTCTCTGGGTTCTCACCAGGCTCTGAACATGAACCGTGATAGACAGTAGAAATCCTATGTCATCTGTCAACTACTTTGCACTAAACTGAAGTCGATCTAAACTTCAAACTCCTCCTATTTTCTTTTGAAAATTTTCATTACCGGTCAAATGACAGCTTCCTCAGACAAACTTGTCCGTTTCTGGTTGAGACTTTGAGGCGGTCAAGCTGTAGAACCTGGCNATCCTGGTTATACAGCTTGACCGCCTAATGTCTAAAAAGATGACTGACAGTAACGTGCTTTGTAGCAATCTTTTAGAGAGACTTACGTTCAAAAAGGGGTCTGCCATAAGCCAAAATGATAATGATCCAGCTCTACATCAGTCTAGCTTAGCTTTGAGTGAAATTTTTGGACTTTTCTCTTGAAATAGATCATATCTTCGCACCTCCAATCCCTTTCACACCTCTCCAAACCCCGCGATAATTTCGCGCCGATCAAATGCATTTCGTATGCGCGCGCTCGCTCAAATCGCCCGAGTCTGCGCGCGCGCCGAATGTTAACTAAGGAACGTGACGTGTATAGCCCAAATGATTTATTGTACGACAGATTGATTGTAATAACAGTGTCGTTCATGTAATTATTCGCAATTCTTCTTCTGAAACGTCTAATAATTACTGTTCACGTACCGACAATAACGTCAACCGCGGTTTTGTTTCGGTTCGATTTTTTTTAATAAATAAATAATCAAAAACTAAACTTACCTTGATATGTACTTTAAAAGAAAACCATACGAGGTTAACGTAAATGGATGCTTTTTACAGTGAGACAAAGCAAAGAGCACAAGCATTTTATATCCAAAGTTATGTATGTTATACAGTGTGTAAGAAAGAAAGAAAGAAAGAAAAGTATTTATTCGATGCTAGTACAAAATAACAGTAACAAAAATCCTTGTTCATAAAACTTAAGAAACGTCATAATGACGTAGTAGACGCCGCTCAGTAAGAAAATCTAATGTATGTAGTTATAATATTATGTTAAATAATATTCATCTAGTATATTAAATAGCCTGTAGGTATTTAATTTTATTTATGCAGTCTTGTGCCCATTTTACAAGCTTTATTTTCAATTTGCGACGATTTTTTCAAAAGTTTTTCATCAACATCATCATCATCATTTCAGCCACAGGACGTCCACTGCTGAACATAGGCCTCCCCCAATGACTTCCACATCGCACGGTTGGTAGCGGCCTGCGTCCAGCGCTTCCCTGCTACCTTTATGATATCGTCGGTCTACCTTGTGGGGGACGACGTCCCACGCTGTGTTTTCCGGTACGCGGCCTCCATTCCAGAACCTTGCTGCCCCATCGGCCGTCGGTTCTGCGTACTATGTGCCCTACCCATTGCCACTTCAGCTTGCTAATCCGTCGGGCTAGGTATGTCAGCCCGAGTTAATTTGATATTGTAAGTTATTAAAAAAAGTTTTTTTTAATCACATCATCGTTTACCTTAAGAATAATAAATGTACTTTTATCTAGATTGCGTGAGGCACAATTTCAATTTATTAGGAACAATTCACTATAGGGGTATCACCATAGCTATTTAGCGCACCACTCACGCGCAGCGCGTATGACGCACAAACGGCATGTCAAACTAGACTTTCTAGCACCGTATGTCCTTGCAATTAGGTCGATTTTACAACAATAATGTACAGCTTGAAGTTCTGTCGTCGGTACAAGATAACTGATTTGTATAAAACTGAAAAATCTATTCAAAGTGTCAGTTGTTTACTGAAGAGAGAGCAAAATGTTTGTCAACACGTTGGTATTTGTTGGAATACTATGCCCTATATTTGGTGAGCGAAACAATTTTATTGTTATTTACATACTATATGTAATATTTTTATTAATTTATTTAAGTAGATAGGCAGCCCTATCTTATTTGGTAAGCTAGAAATCATGGTAATTTTTCTTTAATAATAAAATAATTATTAATAGACACAGTTAGAACTATTTCTTATTCCATTAGGCACCATAGTTAGATGGAAGAAAATTGTTTAAAGATAAGTTTACTTTAACCATTTGTTCTTTATTTTTTTGTTGTGTGTACGAACTTTCTTTTTCGATAATCAGTCCCGGGTTTGGTTCCCGTTCTAATCCAAAAAGCTTAGAACTACTGCCTATTTTCAGAGACATCATCATACCATATGTTTAGGCATATTAATAGAACGTAATTTATTCTATCTACTGTACATTCGTCATCGTTATGCCAAAACTACTTTTAGTCCAGTAGAATTCAATGCAGGATTAAGTGCCCTTTAACCATCATGAAGACCACTTTTCGATAGGGTAAGTCCTTTACGCGGTATAACCGGAAAACCGAAAAAACGCCCCTTTCGGGGGCCCCCACCACTTAAGCACAACTCCGTCGAAGTCGAAAACTTAGGAGAGTCTTAATGGGCAACCAATGAAGCCATTAAAGCACAATAATTGTAGGAATTATTTCCGATTTAATCAATTTTTGTGTTTAATTCTACTGGCCTATTTCATTTACTTTGCCAAATTACCTTGAACTCATGACGTCATAGTCTATATTCGGCGCTACAAGTCGATAGCGGCTATTAATTTCGAACACGGTTAGTATGTCAGGATGGCCGAGCGGTCTAAGGCGCTGCGTTCAGGTCGCAGTCCACTTCTGTGGGCGTGGGTTCGAATCCCACTTCTGACAAATACTTTTTGCTTGATTTTGTTTTAATTGCAAGAATATTTCTTTTGATTTTATTTTGGCATCATTTTAATTACCATATAGTTAAAAGACTGAATGATTTTGTTTGTTCATCGTAGTAATTCTGTACTGTAGCTGTAGGCACCCTGTACCCTTAGCACGAATAACTCTCGTAATCATAGTGTATTTCTGATACAACTATATAAACACTATTTCGTTTTTCATACAAAAAAAAACATAATATAATATACAAGTACGATATTTAATTTTATTCGTACTCCAGGTAGCTGTGCTGTGCCTACTGATGATTTAGTAATTAATAATAAATAACCCCCGTAAGGAACGGAGGCTTCGCAATGGATTATATTTTAGCAATTAATATAAATAACCCCCGTAGGGAACGAAGACGTCGCAATGAAGTCGCAAAAACGGGACACTATTTTCACTACGAAGTCGCGAACACATTAATTGATAAGTATAATTATTATTTTTATCACCAGTGTCATCGGAGTTCTACTCCTCAACTGATCCCAATGCCCGAGAGGACTGGGAGCGCATAGTGGGAGGCACCAAAGCTGCAAATGGATCCATTCCGTACCAGGTATCATCATCATCATCATAACAGCCTCAGGACGTCCACTGATGAACATAAAATTCCCCCAATGATTTCCACATCGCCCGGTTGGTAGGTAAAAAAGTTACTTGCCCCGTTTTGTTTCTTTTGCCTGATCATGTTTGCTCAGCAAAAAGTTTCAAGATAAAAATGTTGTCTTATTACATTACTGGACTATTCCCACCTCTCGTTTCCACCGCTGCAACTCCTGTGTAGCCAGGATCTATATAGCTTGACCGCCACAAAAACTCAACCAGTGAAGGTCAAGTTTGTTCCGGGGGAAAGTCAAACTGTCAAACCTTAATAAAATTAATTAGAAGAACATGAAGTTCGAAGTTAAGGTTCGACTTCCCTCCAGTGCAAAGCCGATGAAAACTACACAAACTACAAAATCACAAGTTTAGCTTGATGTGCTCTGTACTTATTTATTTGTATTTATTTAGGTCTCCCTAAGATTTTGGGGCGTGTGGCACTTCTGCGGGGCTTCCCTGGTCACTCCGCGGGTCATACTGACTGCAGCTCATTGTGTTGATAGGTATCTACTTAAATTTTTATTTATTTTATTCTTTTTTAGTAAAAAAACTTACAAATACACAATGAACCACGTTCGTAATTCCATTTACTGTTGGTTTTTTTCCGCAATATCATATCTGTAAATTGTTGCTAAAAATATGATCAGGCGCTTAGCTTTTATTATAGGTACTAGTTGTGGTACTAGTACTAACGTAACATCAAAATTAATTTACTAAGCAACATATCTTTTTATAAAAAAATTGTATAAAAAATCAAGTCACGTGGTCTTCAGGGAATCTATCAAGATTATTCAATTTCGTAATTTATAGCACCCAATAATTTATTGCGATTATGATTGTGGTCTCAAAAAACAAACCGAGCTTCTCTTCTTGATTTACTCCTTCCTTACTCATTAATTCTATAATTACAGTTCTTTTAAAATAACTGGTTATTTCTTTTACCGTTGTAACAAAAATTCTGTATCTCCAGAATAAACCCCAAGTACATCCAGGCTATAGTAGGCACCAACCAACTCCGCTACGGTGGCACAGCCTACCCGATCCGAAAGATAGTGCGGCATGAAGAGTACGACGATGACGTCATCAAGAACGATATCGCCATCCTCTTCACTCACAAGGAGATAGAGTTTGGGAGTACAGTGGACGCGGTGGAGCTGAATGATGAGCCAGTGGAGAAAGGGGAGGATCTGGTGCTGACTGGATGGGGGACCACTTCTGTAAGTGTCTACTCCTTTTTAACTTTTACTTTGACTTTGCCTTAATAGCTGTATGATCACTACTGGATAAAGGCCTCTCTCGAGGGTCTAAAAATGATGGACCAAGACCAATGCTGGAGAAAACCCTGGATGTTGGGCTACTGATTTTAAGATGATTGTTGATAATATTAACTATGATACCCCGTGACATGTCACGGGGTATCATAGCTCATGAGTAGAGATATGCCATGGCATATCAGGGGCCAGGCCCCCCTGAACCCTAGATACGCCAATGCCACCGAGTGCGAGACCAGCCTAATACTATGGTCACGGCCATTAGTTCTAAAGCTAATGTTTTCAGGGATAAAAAGAAGCCTTCACATTTTGAAGACACCACCTTGGAATAGTTTCCCTTCCAAATAAAGCTTAAAAATACAACAAAGCATACCTACCTATTGAATTATTCAGAACATTGATATTTGTTGGAAGTGGCTTCACAACTGTTAGTAAGGATTAAAGTATTTGATCATCAATTTATCTTCTCTCCAAGGATTCCACCCACGATCTTCATGAGATCATCGGTCCAGACAATGGAACCTCTCACCTAAAACGATGTTTATTCCAGTACCCAGGCCGTCTCCCCAACGATCTGATGCAGCTGGAACTCAAGTCTATCACGTACGAGGAGTGTAAGGAGGCGCATAAGAACGTCAACGCGGTATTCGAAACCCAGATCTGTGCGCTGACGAAGGCTGGAGAGGGCGCTTGTCATGTGAGTTAGAATAGATTCAGAGTCAAAAATAAGCAAAAATACCTTACAGGGGTTGTTGACACACTGGTCAGTTGACAGATGTTTTATGAGGTGTTAAAACGCGACTCTCCCGTGGATTTTGTACAGCAAAAAGAAATATGACGTCTCCGAGAAAATAAAATGCGCAGTGCGTAAAAGCCTTTGGTAGCAAGAACATCATAATCGCGTCTATTACAAATAGGGTCACATTGACAGTGTTTAGTTTGATGTGCTGCTGTAGTACAGAAATTGAGTAGATTTAGATCAGAAAGTACAACGAAAATCTGCATTATTTGTAATCCCATCATTTTTGGTGATATTAATTAGAGAGTCCAAATGAACAAAGTTAACTAACATCCTATCTTACAATACATTACATACCTATACAGTACAGTACAGTTACATAGTTTTAATTTTCAGGGTGATTCAGGAGGCCCTTTGGTAAGGGAAGGCAGACAGATCGGCATTGTCTCTTGGGGCATCCCGTGCGCTAAGGGCAAGCCTGATGTCTATACAAAGGTATGTAATTAATTTGTATTCTAAATTATTCAAAATTTTACGCTTTAGTGCGACAAGAAATATAAATTAGATTTTATTACAAAGTTAGTTACTACAAGTCGACGAATAAAAGCATGTTAAAAACACAATGTATTCCCATACAAATAAAATTTTAACTGCGCTCGCTCTGTCGATTGATTAATTAGTAAGTTATGGAGAAATGTTTGAGATTGAATGTTTTGGAAAGAGTTTCTTTATTTGAATACCAGAATTACTCCCATTCGGATCGGATATTAATAAAATAAGTACTCAAATGTGTCTTCAATTTGAAGACTTGCGAAGTTGAACTGCTATAAGTAGGCTAATGATAAATGATGATGATGATAATTAAATGTTTGTTTTCAAGGTGGAAGCCTACATGAGGTGGATCGAGAAAACTCTATACGATGACGACGAAGACCATCTGAAATACCTTAACAATAAGAGAAAAACTAATCGACATTAGTTAAGAATGCAGTCAGCTACTAAAATGTCTGTTATTTAAAGAACTAATTTTTAATTAATAAATGAATACTGTAAATTCTTATCGATGATTTTAGACGACAAATGTATGGGCTTATCACGTAAAATCGATAAAATGGCATGATAAACGCCTATCGCGGCGCGCATCCTAGGCCTACTGCAGTGGAGACTAACGCCCGTATTCACAAACAATGCTTGCTTAAGGCGATTAGAGTCCTCAATCCGCGCCAAATGGGCATATTGTAAAGCCTACTCCTCTTTTACTGCTGGACAGAAATAGTTGAAAAAAATATATGTTATACAACAGTTCAAGGACTACATTTGTGACGTTTGAATTTTCGCTACGTCTCTTTGTTCTGGATTAAAAAAATAAATACGGGACATCGATTTTTTACTTAAATTCCCTACTCCTCCAAAACGGCTATGTTAATTTAAAAGATTTTTGCACGAATAGATTAGGANTTTTTTTTCGTTCGTTCGTTCGTTTCAGCCGAAAGACGTCCACTGCTGGACAAAGGCCTCCCCCAAGGATTTCCACAAAGACCGGTCCTGCGCCGCTTGCATCCAGGTAGGTACTTCCCTTTTTCGATTTTTTTTAATAAATAAATAATCCCAAACTAAACTTACCTTTATATGTACTTTAAAAGAAAACCATACGAGGTTAACGTAAATGGATGCTTTTTACAGTGAGACAAAGCAAAGAGCACAAGCATTTTATATCCAAAGTTATGTATGTTATACAGTGTGTAACAAAAATCCTTGTTCATAAAACTTAAGAAACGTCATAATGACGTAGTAGACGCCGCTCAGTAAGAAAATCTCTTTAGTAAAAACTAATGTATGTAGTTATAATATTATGTTAAATAATATTCATCTAGTAGTATATTAAATAGCCTGTAGGTATTTAATTTTATTTATGCAGTCTTGTGCCCATTTTACAAGCTTTATTTTCAATTTGCGACGATTTTTTCAAAAGTTTTTCATTAACATCATCATATTTCAGCCACAGGACGGCTGAAATGATGATGATGATGTTGATGTCCACTGTCCACTGCTGAACATAGGCCTCCCCCAATGACTTCCACATCGCACGGTTGGTAGCGGCCTGCGTCCAGCGCTTCCCTGCTACCTTTATGATATCGTCGGTCTACCTTGTGGGGGACGACGTCCCACGCTGTGTTTTCCGGTACGCGGCCTCCATTCCAGAACCTTGCTGCCCCATCGGCCGTCAGTTCTGCGTACTATGTGCCTTGCCCATTGCCACTTCAGCTTGCTAATCCGTCGGGCTATGTCAGCGACTTTAGTTCGTTAATTTGATATTGTTATTTATACAAAAAAAATTTAACCACATCATCGTTCACCTTAAGAATAATAATAGACTTTTATCTAGATTGCGTGAGACACCATTTAAATTTATTAGGAACAATTCACCATAGGGGTATCACCATAGTTATTTAGCGCACCACTCACGCGCAGCGCGTATGACGCACAAACGACATGTCAAACTAGACATTTTCGCACCTTAAGTCCTTGCAATTAGGTGTATTTTACAACAATAATGTACAGGTTGAAGTGCTGTCGTCTGTACAAGATAACTGATTTGTATAAAACTGAAAAATCTATTCAAAGTGTCAGTTGTTTACTGAAGAGAGAGCAAAATGTTTGTCAAAACGTTGGTATTTGTTGGAATACTATGCCCTTTATTTGGTGAGCGAAACAATTTAATTGTTATTTAGATACTGGATGTAATATTTTTATTTATTTATTTAAAAATAAATAAGCAGCCCTGTCTATATTTGGTAAGCTAGAAAACATGGTAATAAATTTTCCTTTAATAATAAAAATAAATATATCACCATTATCATTCCATTATTAAAATATAATTAATAAATCTTAGTTATTATTAGAGTAGGTACCTACCATCATTAGTTAAAAAAATGTCTTTATAGATTGTTTTTGTTTACTTAAATAATTTGTTTTTTATGTTTTTGTCGTCTGAACGAATAAACTTTCTTTTTCGATACTCAGTCCCGGGTTTGGTTATCGTTCCAATCCAAAAAGTACCTAGATTCTAGATTACCATAGTAATAGAACGTAATTTATTCTATCTACTGTACATTCGTCATCGTTATGCCAAAACTACTTTCATCTACTTTGCGAAACTACCTTGAACTCATGACGTCATAGTCTATATTCGGCGCTACAAGTCGATAGCGGCTATTAATTTCGAGCTCGTTTAGTATGTCAGGATGGCCGAGCGGTCTAAGGCGCTGCGTTCAGGTCGCAGTCCACTTCTGTGGGCGTGGGTTCGAATCCCACTTCTGACAAATGCTTTTTGCTTGTTTTTGTTTCAATTGCAAAAATATTTCTTTTGATTTTATTTTGGCATCATTTTAATTACCATATAGTTAAAAGACTGAATGATTTTGTTTGTTCATCGTAGTAATTCTGTACTGTAGCTGTAGGCACCCTGTACCCTTAGCACGAATAACTCTCGTAATCATAGTGTATTTCTGATACAACTATATAAACACTATTTCGTTTTTCATACAAAAAAAACATAATATAATTATACAAGTACGATATTTAATTTTATTCGTACTCCAGGTAGCTGTGCCTACTGATGATTTAGTAATTAATAATAAATAACCCCCGTAAGGAACGGAGGCTTCGCAATGGATTATATTTTAGCAATTAATATAAATAACCCCCGTAGGGAACGGAGGCGTCGCAGCGTCGAAAAACGGGACACTATTTTCACTACGAAGTCGCGAACACATTAATTGATAAGTATAATTATTTTTATCACCAGTGTCATCGGAGTTCTACTCATCCACTGATCCCAATGCCCGAGAGGACTGGGAACGCATAGTGGGAGGCACCAAAGCTGCAAATGGCTCCATTCCGTACCAGGTATCATCATCATCATCATTTCAGCCACGACGGCCACTGCTGAACACAAAACTCCCCCAATGATTTCCACATCGCCCGGTTGGTAGGTATGAAACAGTAAAAAAGTTACTTGCCCCGTTTTGTTTCTTTTGCCTGATCATGTTTGCCCACGACTTTAAGCAAAAAGTTTCAAGATAAAAATGTTGTCTTATTACATTACGGGACTATTCCCTCCTCTCGTTCCCACCGCTGCAACTCCTGTGTAGGCCACAAAAAGTCAACCAGTGAAGGTCAAGTTTGTTCCGGGGGAAAGTCAAACTGTCAAACCTTAATAAAATTAATTAGAAGAACATGAAGTTCGAAGTTAAGGTTCGACTTCCCTCCAGTGCAAAGCCGATGAAAACTACACAATTTTGTCGCAAAATCACACGTTTAGCTTGATGTGCTCTGTACTTATTTATTTGTATTTATTTAGGTCTCCCTAAGATTTTGGGGCGTGTGGCACTTCTGCGGGGCATCCCTGGTCACTCCGCGGGTCATACTGACTGCAGCTCATTGTGTTGATAGGTAAATATTTATCTTAATTTATACTTTTTAACTAAACTAAAGTTACAAAAACAATTATGCTTTATTTTATTGTTCAATCAACCACGTTCGTAATTCCATGTACTGTTGGTTTTTTTCCGCAACATCATATCTGTGAATTGTTGCTAAAAATATGATCAGGCACTTAGCTTTTGTTTTATTTTACGTCCGTAACATCAAAATGAATGAAGAATCAAAAATGTTTATTTCTTAAGTTAATTTACTAAGCAATATATTTTTAGTTTATGCACAAAATCAAGCCACTCTGGTCTTGAGGGAAACTATCAAGATTATTCGTAATTCATAACACCCAATAATTTATTGCGATTATGATTTTGGTCTCAAAAAACAAACCGAACTTCTCTGTCACTTCTCTCCTTGATTTACTCCTTTCTTACGAATTTAATTCTACACAGTTATGTTAAAAATATTTTGGTTATTTCTTTTACCGTTCTAACAAAAATTCTGTATCTACAGAATAAACCCCAAGTACATCCAGGCCATAGTAGGCACCAACCAACTCCGCTACGGTGGCACAGCCTACCCGATCCGAAAGATAGTGCGGCATGAAGAGTACGACGATGACGTCATCAAGAACGATATCGCCATCCTCTTCACGCACAAGGAGATAGAGTTTAGCAGTACAGTGGACGCTGTGGAGCTGAATGACGAGCCGGTGGAAAAAGGGGAGGATCTGGTGCTGACTGGATGGGGGACCACTTCTGTAAGTGTTTTTTCCTTTTTAACTTTTACTTTGACTTTAACTTTATGATCACTACTAAACAAAGGCCTAAAATAACTCTCTAGGGTCGAAACGAAGGACCAGGACCACTGCAGGAGAAAACCCTGGATGTTGATCTACTGATTTTAAGATGATAGTTGATTTGATAGTATTAACTCGTCAGCTACCCCGTGACATGGCATATCAGAACCCTAGATAAGCCAATGTTACCGAGTGCCAAACCTGGCTAATACTACATCTTTCGAATCCTGGTCACCACTTGAAAACGGCCATAAGTTCTAAAGCTAATGTTTTCAGGGATAAAAACAAGTCTTCTCATTTTGAAGACCAAATAAAGCTTAAAAATACAACTTATTCAGAACATTGGTATTTGTTGGAAGTGGCTTCACAACTGTCAGTGAGGATCGAAATACTTCATCATCAATTTATCTTCCCCCCAAGGATTTCGACCCGCGATCTTCATGAGATCATCGGTTCACCAGACAATGGAACCTCTTACCTAAAACGATTCATCTATCTTCCAGTACCCAGGCCGTCTCCCCAACGACCTGATGCAGCTGGAACTCAAGTCCATCACGTACGAGGAGTGCAAAGAGGCGCATAAGAACGTCAACGCCGTGTTTGAGACTCAGATTTGTGCGTTGACGAAGGCTGGAGAGGGCGCTTGTCATGTGAGTGGAAATGAGACAAAAACAAGCAAAAATTCAATTGACATGCTTTTTATGAGATGTCAAAACGCGTGAGCTCACATATACCTATTAGAATTTGTAGAGCAAACTCGTAGTAACTAGGAATACATATGACGTTACCGGGAAAACAAAATGCACGAGACATAGACAGTGCCTGCTTAGGTATGATGGATGACTACTAAAGGCACCGACTATGTCTACGTCACGTCTTAAAAATGCGATTACATTTTATTGCAAATCACACAAATACCTGAGACAAATACATAGGGTCACTGTGACAGTGTTTAGTTAGATATGCTGCAGTAAGTAGTCCAGAAATTAAGTAGTTTGACATCACAAAGAACGCCTAGTAGGTATTCCAGAATCGGCCTCCAATCTTACACGTTTGTGAAGCTCTACTTTTTGCCAATACTAAAACGAAAGTCCAAGTGACAAAATTATGTAGCATCCTGACTTAAAAAAATAGATAAGTTTTAACATTTATATCGATATATTACATAGTTTTATGTCACCTTTGCAGGGTGATTCAGGAGGCCCTTTGGTAAGGGAAGGCAGACAGATCGGCATTGTCTCTTGGGGCATCCCGTGCGCTAAGGGCAAGCCTGATGTCTATACAAAGGTATGTAATTAATTTGTATTCTTAATTATTCAAAATTTTACCCTTTAGTGCGTCTAGAAATATAAATTACATATTATTACATAGTTACAAGTCGACCTAATAAATTCATGTTAAAAACACAACATATTCCCATACAAATAAAAAACTGCGCTCGCTCTGTCGATTAGTCAATTAGTAAGGTATTGAGAAATGTTTTAGATTGAATGTTTTGGAAAGAGTTTCTTTATTTGAATACCAGAATTATACCATTCGGATCGGATATTAAAAAAAAAGTACTCAAATGAGTCTTCAATTTGAAAACTTCGGAAGTTGATTGCGACCGAAGACAGGGTTAAATGGCTAGGGCTATGTCTAATAATGAACTGCTATAAGTAGGCTAATGATAAATGATGATGATGATAATTAAATGTATTTGTTTTCAAGGTGGAAGCCTACATGAGGTGGATCGAGAAAACTCTATACGATGACGACGAAGACCATCTGAAATACCTTAACAATAAGAGAAAAACTAATCGACATTAGTTAAGAATGCAGTCAGCTACTAAAATGTCTGTTATTTAACGAACTAATTTTAAATTAGTAAATGAATACTGTAAATATTTAATTACTGTCTTTTCTTTATAAAAAAAATCATTACTTGGCGACTAAGGGGCAAATATGCGAACTTAAGGCTTCCCCAACGCGTCTTTCCAGCGTGGGGAGTGTAAGCCAAATCCTCACTTCCTAGTTAAATTAAATAGGGTTGTGCTGACCTGCAGTGGAGACTAGCGCCCGTATTCTTAAACGATGCTTGCTTAACTGAAACAGCAAATCGAACGCACAGCGTTGAATAGAGCTCAAGGGTCTTAAGCTATCAGTCCGATCAAGTTAAGTACAACGTCTAATCAATTTACAAAGACTGGCACTCTTGGTGTTTAGCTGTGATGGTTCGCGTGTCACCCTGTGCGTCCACGCACACTATGAGACCTCATAGTAATGTTTGTGAATACGGGCGGAAATTACCTAAAAATGACAATAAGTTTATGAATAAAATAAAAAGACAAATTGAAATAATGTAAAAACATTTATTACAATAATCATCACACCATGCGTAATTCTAATATCACAGTATCAGTGTCGTGATTTCCAGCTATTTTATTTAAATCCAAAAATATTTTAAGATTTTCAAACAAAATAAATTTTACATCATATAAAATTCTTACATATTCACGACTTTTTTTGTTCGTAAAAAAATATTATTAATTTTTCTCACACAGAAAATTGTTTTAAAGTATCAAACTTATAAAATACTCAGTCATGCATTAACAAATACGATAAAATTATTAAATTAGTATTAATTCTAAATGCTGATAAATTGTGGAATAAAAATTCAATGATCCCTTATTAAAATTTCTTCATGAAGATAAATGGATAAAATAGATATTATAATAATTATTAATAGATTGCTTATCGTAACAACAAAGAGTTGTTAATCTATATATTTTACAATTAATATCTATTGCGATAACTTTTTTTATACGTTTTTTACACAGGAGCGTACTTAGATTATTTTGAGAAAGAATAAATATTTTTCTCATCACCTATTAAAAGTTATTTTAAGTAGATGAAACTAAAATTGAACGCATTTTTCAGTAAATCATGATGGCAATTTTACGGTCCGATTTATTTAGTTTTTATAACCACCACATTCAATTTACAAATTTTAAACAGCATAATATTAACTTTGTAACTGGTACAAATATTAATGTATTAAAACCTTGGACGAATAAACCACAAGATTAAAACATAATAACAACTAGAGCTATAGAGAGACATTAGACAAAATGTCTGTGACAAAGTGGAACACCAAATTTTTACTTGAGCAAGTAAAGTAATTTAAACGATTAAATTATTTTCGATATCTTGATTAAACTGATTAATCAGTAATGCCTCTGATCAAAGCAATCAAGTTTTAAAAACACACTTATGTGCGTTACAGGACGATGCACAAATATCGGGTACAAGTTTTCAGTGTTTTAATACGGCCCTGAATCTGGCACGTATTTTCATATTTTAAAACGACGCTCAAAACTCAATTCAAATTCAGTAACATTAAAATCCATTCTTGAATGAAGACTCACAAAAGCGTCATTCCACAATAAATGCACTATAAGAAAAAAATAGCTTACAACATCTCCAATACATAAATGGAGGCGATAATAAGAACTACCCTCAATCTAATCCAAAGATAATCGAATAACTCCGTCATTTCTTCATTTATCGTATCGTAAATCGATCCTGAATCGTTTAGGACGAAATTCTTCGAGTCTTTCGAGAAATCTCTGCCGAAAATGCCAAAAGTTAGCAAGTTGTCTGCATTTGTAACTTCTAAAGTCACCTGTTTACTGTTGGCGGCCATTTTGAAGGCTTTAGGCTCAATTTTAGAGCCTGTCGTCAATATAATGGGATACTGTATGGTTTCGGTAAAGTTAGCGGTGATGGAGATCTTCTGGAACTTTACGTTTGTACTGTTTTGAGACCTGGAAAAGGTAGAGACAACTTTAGAATAAAACAATGGTGAAAACTTTTAGAAATGCATACGAAAAACATTAAAAAAAGTTCAGCCCTGTCTTCAGAGTGCTATTGAATAAGTAGGTATGCTACAACTATTCTCACAGTAATTCCTATGTAGCCAGGCATATACAGCTTGACCACCAATAAAACCCAACCAGTGAAGGCCAAGTTAGTTCCTAATCCCAAAACCTAATTGTAGGTTTAGAGCCAAATAAGTAGAAAATATTACTTATCGCCCGTATTCACAATCGAACGCACAGCGTTGAATAGAGCTCTGTGATTGGTTTGTGAGTCACCCTGTGCGTCCACGCGCACTGTGAGACCTCATAGTGATGTTTGTGTATACGGGCGTCAGAATTCCTAAGCAGTCTTCTCTTCTTTAGGTAGGTAAACCATAGACTTCCATCAAGAACGATTCACATCATTCCAGTAGGTATCCAAAGTTACAGCTCCCTCTAAATCATTTATCAAACAGTAATTAAAATGGCCTTAACGAAAGAAAGTCAAGTAAATCTTACCCAAGAGAACAGCTTCGTTTGTACAAGCCAGCGCAGGCGAACACAGCGCAAGTCTGCGAGCCGATGTTGTGAGTGTGGTCAAAATGGCGGACCCCGTTGAACGCTGCCAAGCCGTAGTTCACTTCTTCTTTGGGCCCTGGGTGAAGAAATTTATGGATATTAGAATGAACATCATCATCATCATTTCAGCTATAGGACGTCCACTGCAGAACATAACTAGGCGTCCCTCATTAATTTCCATATCGGCCGGTTAGTAGCCTGCATCCAGCTTCCTGCTACCTTTATGAGGTCGTCGGTCCACCTAGTCCCTAGTGGGTGGACGTCCCACGCTAGAATAGACATAAACACAAGATATTCACAATTTATTTTTAGCTATTAGGACAGTGCAGGCTGCTACCAACCGGTCACTATGGAAATCATTGGGGGAGGCCTATGTTCAGCAGTGGACGTGCTATGACTGAAATTATGATTATGATTAGGACAAAGTCAACCTCCTCAAACCGTCTAGCCAGCATGGGGAGGGTAGGTCAAATCCTCCATTTGGCTCTGGTAAATTGGAGAGGATCACGCTCCTGGTGTGATGATGATGATGATGATGAAAATGATATGAGCTAAGTAATTATGATAAGTACTAGAAAGAAATTAAACCAAACTTTGATAGTAATGCTAATAAATATCGACCTGAGTACATCTAAAAAATACTTGAATAGTAATCAGCCGAATGAAAGGTCATTAGACTCATTTTTCCAAGCCCCATTAATAGAGGCAGTCGACCTTTTCAAGTAATAAATTATTGATTGATAAACGCAAAATTCCAATATTTTCAAACAAATGAAATAACAATGGAAATTCTTCTCACCATCAAATGCCATCTTCACATAGAATTCGCAGCAGAAGCCATCATGGCAGACAGTTTCCTTATAACCCTGAGCACTGGCAGCGACATCTAGCGGTCTGATGATGTACTGGGACAGGTCTTCAGCAGGGGACGACTTTAGCTCCAAAGAGTTTACTACTGGTGGGACGATTTGCTGGTCTGTGAAGGAAGTGTGAAAAATGGTAAGTTTTAGAGGAAAATTAAAATTAATTGTAGTAAATTTCCTTGCTTTGTGAAGTAATTGTGAAATTGGATAGGTAATTGTTATAATTACTGTTTGAGGAAAACAAAAAATCAAGGTTTTTCTTCTCATAGGGTTAGAGAAAAGGCTAAATAGTTCAATAATGTTCTTCTTGGAGTTGTAGTGAAATAGCTTTTCACGTCACTTATACATGTTCCAAATATAGTTTACCCTACCAGCACTTCAAGACAAGATATCGGCTGGTACGTAGGTACTGAGACGAAGTAGTGGAAGAAACTCAGTCACTTTTATTACATTGAAATTGAAACGCAATCGTTATTGGTTTGTTATATTTTAAAAAATATTTATAACTAGCTTTCCGCCCGCGGCTTCGCCCGCGTGGAATTTTGTCTGTCACAGAAAAACTTTATCGCGCGCGTCCCTGTTTCAAAAACCGGGATAAAAACTATCCTATGTTCTTTCCCGGGACTCAAACTATCTCTATGCCAAATTTCATCAAAATCGGTTGCGAGTTTTAAGCGGGAAAGCGTAACAGACAGACAGACAGACAGACAGAGTTACTTTCGCATTTATAATATTAGTTGGGATTGGGATAGTTGGGATAAGTTCGCACAAGTGATTTAATTAAAAACATTGCGTCAACACTCACTTTTGTTCCCAAGTTTGTCCAAGTCAGAAATTTGAACATTGCTGTGGGTCCTAGCTTCAGAGCCGCTGCTACCAGCAAAGATGCCGGAGCTTGACACCAAGTTGACGTTGTTACTGAAGGCCCAGGAAGACGCGAACTGAGACTCTGAAAAGGTAAATCTATATATATAAAAATGAAACCCGTTTCGCGTTGTCACGGCATCACGTGTGAACGGCTGAACCGATTTCGATAATTCTTTTTTTTAAATGTTTGTGGAAGTCCAAGGATGGTTCTTACGGAAAAAAATATTAAGAAAATCTCTACGCTAAGGCGGTACGAAGTTCGCCGGGTCAGCTAGTAGAAAATAGTTTTTGATTAACTTGACCTTCAATGTTTTTATTGGCGGTCAAGCTGTAGATCCTGGCTACACAGGAGTTGCAGCGGTGGAAACGAGAGGTGGGAATAGTCCCGTTGCTCTTGAATTCGATAAAATTCGGGTTTTGACCACTATAGGGGAAAGCTCTTGATCCATTTCATTCTCAACTGAGGCAATGGTAGTATTTTTATAGAGTTTTAGGAATTTGTAATGCACAAATACCTTGTTTTCCTTAAGGAACAGAATCCAAAAAAAATCCTGAGAGGAGATTAGTCCAGAGGAAGAACTTCGGAAGAAATTAATTTCTTTATTTCATGTAGGTCCAAAGACTAATAAATAACTTTTTTAAAGATACTGTTTTCCCTTGGAAACTCTAAAAACTCAACATTTGTTGAATCTTTAATGATTACAGGAAACGAAAATCAGGAAGTGCTTTAGAGATCTAGTTACTTCGTTGAACTTACCACTCAAAAACGGTACTTCCGAAGACCAGGCACCAAGTACAACAAAGTTGTCCAACTCCTCAGCCTTCCTCAGAACAAGGTCTTCCTCCATCAGCAGTCCAAACTGGACGCCGAAGTCAGTGGAGAAGGTACCGATGTTCGTCGGTGCTATGGTGCAGTTAGCTACGGTGGTCAGGGGTTTTCTGTACCTGGTTGGAGAAATATTGGAAGTGATAAAAACATATCTTATCTGACGGGATTGCTACCATGTACCTTTTTTTGAGTACATGTAAGCAACATTAAACATTAACATTAAGGTACATGGTAGCAATCCCGTCAGTAATATTAATTATGTTAGTGACCATGAAAGTTTAAAGCAATATATTTTATCTGCTTCAGAAGGGAATCGAACTCACGATAAAAACATGTTTCAAAATTTCAAAAGTAACAACTTTTAAAGCCTAGTACCACTAATAGGTTTATGTTGCTGAATTTCTGGAATTCAAATATCAAGAGAAAAGGTCGTGGGTTCGATTCCTCCCAGTCAATTTGAGATTTTCTATTTATTTAAGCTATTGAAACCATAAAATGTTCATAATCTCAAAACTTTTAGAATATGTATGTACATACATGCTTGAAAGCAGAGGTTTAAAAAGTAACATGTTGCGTAAATTCTTTAAAACAAAGGTAACTCAAGTATCTATAGGTATGGCTAACACATCCTGCTTTAAGATTTCTATAGTCTTCATGAATATTGTTTTCAACATAGATATCGAACGGGGAACTTGTGCCAAAAACAGCTAATTTAAAATTCAAAAACACCTCCTAATGACGCATTTTTAAGGAACAACAAAATAATGTTGCTTTGTTCAAAATTCAGAAAATTCTAATGAGTAGAATCGTTGGGTGTATGGATGTTTGTCACTACTTCATGCAAAAAACTCAACTGAATTTCACTCTGGCGAACCAGCTTTAATCATGAAATCTCAGAAATTACAATGTTTCTGAGATTTCATGATTAATCAGTGAGTGGTATCCAGCTGGTGGTATACCTAGGTACAAAGAAATTTAGCAAGTAGGTTTCTTTATAGGGTGAAAACATCCGCTAAGAACGGATTTTACTAAACTCCACCCCTAAGGAAATAAAACGGGTTCCAAGCATACTAAGTCGCGGGCGGCCCCTAGTGGATGAATGTATGGATGTTGTATGGATGTTTGTCACTCTTTGACGCAACAACTCAACTTAATTTTACGCTAAAGAACCTGCTGGAAAAAGCTAGTTAAGTATTTATACTTAAACTAGCGGCCGCCCGCGACCTCGTACGCCTGGATCCCGTTTTACCCTCTTTTAGGGATTGAATTTTGCAAAATCCCGTCTTAGTGAACATGAACATCCACGTTCTAAGAGGAACCCATGCAAAATTTGAGACTCCTAGCGTACAAAACTACAAGTTTCTGAGATTTCGTGATGAGTGAGTGAGTGAGTCAGTGAGTGGCTTTCGCTTTTATAGATATAGATTCAAAAATATCTCCAAACTTACACAGACACGACGTTCCCTTCCCTGTCGAAGACGAGGTTGCTCCGCACCAGTTCATTCTTGTTCTGGCAACGGGTCTTCTCAATCAGGTGGGCTACCACGTACAAGCCGGCTTGCTTCGCAGCGCTGGATATTGTTTCAACCAACTGCGGGAATAAAATAATCATGGTCATTTAATTTTATTCTTCACTGCCAGGAGCACTACCCTCTCTGATTTAGACAGTAAACTAGAAAGAAAGAAAATCATTTATTTTGGTTCATCAACAACACAGATTAAAAGTAAGAATGTACAAGTAGTTTGAACCAAAATTGGCCACCGCTCAGCATGGGTAATAAAACCCAGAACAGAACGCTGTTATTCTGCGGAAAACATACTTTTTGTCGGCCGATAGTGCGACAATGAGCACACAATAACTACATCGATTTGATATCCTCATACAAATTAGAACCCGACCAAACTCTCGGCCGACTCAAAATCTGTAGCCGTAAACTACAGAAACCAATAGAGGAGTCCCATATTTCCCATGTATAAATAAAGGAACAAGGATCATGACTGTCATACATTAAACAAGGATGTAGTGCAAGCCTACATACCTAGTAATCAGTGGTGCAAGCTAAACATTTCATTAAACATATTTATTGACTATTCGTAGTTGGTAGTTTTTTTTTATTTGTGTTGCTTGAGCGGCTATTCTACTATAATAAAGGCCTAGTATCACTGCGACCGGTACCTAGTATTATATTATCTGTGCCGTTACCGATATTGTGATCGCTTTAGATCGTATAGTTGGTAGTTTATTAATTTTCTACTAGATGGCGCTGTGCTGTTTTAGTTTGCGCTATCATTTGATTTTTTCCGGATTTACTTATACTGAACTTCCAGTGTGTCTCGATGGACCGACGACCTAAGGTCGTTGTGGAAATCATTGGTATTTTTGAATACAGTGGTCCAGTTTAAGCTGGAGTAACACTGTCAGAATTAGTGTCTCTAAACTCTAGTAAACTAACTAAAATGAACTAACCTTTATAGGTGCTATTGACTGATAGTGAATCTAATCAAATCAAGAACTAGTTAAGTAAAAACTTTCGTATTGTTAAATTTAAAGTTATCGTTTTAAAAAATATAACTCCATTGTTATCAAGATCATGTTTAACGTGACGCACAGACAAAGAATTCAAATAATTTTATGTTATTGTTAAAAAATACAAAAGACAACTGCGTAAGACGTGGTATACAAATTTTACGTTGTTTTTGAAAAGGGCCCGACCTATTTACCCTGAACTTTGTTTATTCTGAAACCTTGTTGTAATGTTTTACCAAGCCTATTCCATTTTTTTACCGCACATAAATGTAGTTAAAAAAATCTCTTAGAAATTATTATTCTCTTACTTTTCCACTTTCATTAATACTACAGAAGAATTTAATATCGTTTATTCGTTTCAGCCAAATGACGTCCACTGCTGGACAAAGGCCTCCCCCAAGGATTTCCCCAACGACCGGTCCTGCGCCACCCGCATCCAGGTGCTTCCCGCGACCAAATCGTCCGTCCACCTAATGGGAGGCCTACCTAAACTAAAAACAATAACTTTATACACCGTCAATAGTTTATTGTATTTGTAGATTACCACATCATAGTTGTCCATTTCACACGTTCTTTCCATAGATGAGAGAGGCGCTTGCGGTGATGGCAGCACCAGAATATCCACATTCTGAAACAAAAGTAAATTGTACGTTTAATAATATAATGGATATTTGAAAGCAACATGGATGACACAATGTTGAAATAGTGTAGTGATGTTGAGTAGTGAACGCAAGGGAATGTCCCGGGTTCGATTTCGGTGCTATTTGATGGTTTCAAAAGGCCGCTTCCTTCTGTGATTGTATCTTTTATCGGGGTGAAGGCGATATATCATTATCCCACCTTCTTAAAATTTGCTACCTTAAGAATTTTGTACTAGGAGAACTACAGTTACTGACATAGCCCGCAGAATCGCTAAAATCAAGTGACAGTGGGCGGGGCACATAGCTCGAAGAGCTGATGGCCGCTGGGGCAGGAAAGTTCTTGAGTGGCGACCACGAGCCGGGAGACTAGGCCTCCCACTAGGTGGACCGACGATCTGGTGAAGGTCGCGGGAGGTCCCTGGATGCGAGCGGCGCAGGACCGGTCTTTGTAGAAATCCTTGGGGGAGGCCTTTGTCCAGCAGTGGACGTCTTTCGGCTGAAACGAATGAACGAAGAATTTTGTGCTACTTGGGTTGTTATGTTAACCTACTTCTTCAATCACTCTCTTCTCTTCTCAGTCGGTACACTCTTGTCAGAGTGGTCATGGTCATCATTGTGAATCACGATGAGTGATGTTGTGAAGAACATCAGTCATTCAATATGTTACCTAAACAATTTTGGCAATTGGCCTTGCCAGTCTTGCCACCACTAAGTTGAAAGCTTTTTGAATGTTTATGAAGGTAGAAAACCAAATACAGTTGAATAGCAAGATAATACCACGTGGACAAATTTTGAAATTCTTAAAATCCATCGGAGATTTTGGTCTTTTGTGATGATAACTTAGGCTATAAATACATAATTATTATCAGGCCAAAAAAATCAAAATATTTTTTATTAACTACGTTTTACTCGAAGTCAAAGGATGAAAGGTCATAGGTCATGCGTTATATCATACTTTAAATAAGTGAATCACTATCAGTATGTTTTCTTACACAACTGTAAACGATTCATGTTTTGAATAAACCTTTCAATAACTTTACTTTATTTCAGTTATCACATCTTTAACTTGTAAAAAGTGATCTGTAATTTTGTCATTTTTAACCGCGTAAAAAAGGATGTTTTCAATTTCATCGTCATCATTCCAGCCACAGGACGTCCACTGCTGAACATAGGCCTTCCCCAATGATTTTCAGAGTACCTAACCGGTTGGTAGCGGCCTGCATCCAGCGCCTTCCTGCTACCTTTATGAGGTCATCTGTCCACCTTCTGTCCAAGTATGAGCCACAAAGAACACATAGCCGTAATTGAAAAAACATACATTCGTATTGAGAACCTCCTTCCTTTTTTTAAGTCGGTTAAAAATAAGAAAAGAAAGGATTTTGAGACATTCCCGTTTTTTACGCCTCATCGGTGACCCGTAGCGTTTAACGTGTTAACATGAGTAGTATTTATTTAACCTATTAACTTACCAGTTTCCCAGCTTCATGTATGAGAGGCACGTAGCTGTTCACATCCCCATGTGTGGTCACCACGCCTGCCCGGTAAGTCTCCTATAATCAATATCATGGCTTAGTATGATTTCAATTGAATTTGTTATGAATAGGTTTCCTGTTGTAAGAGGATTATTATTAAAAAATGTCGTTAACCTTTTATCAAAACTTCCTGGATAAATTATACTTAGTACCTACTAGTTACTAATTATAACGTGAGAAGATTTGTATTTTTGTTTGACTTACTTGACTTATGGTCCTATGTCCCCTAGATGGGGACATTTTTGTTTGTTTGAAACGAATTATCTTAAAAACTACCGGACCGATTTTAAAATTCTTTCAACATTAGAATGCTACTTTATTTTTAAGTAACTATGACTTCCCAGCAGACAAAGAAAAGCTAGTAAATAAAAAAAATACATGAGAAAGAAATAGTCGGTGATTCATAACAGATCTATTGCATGGTAATAATATCATACAGTATTGTAACTTCATATAAACAGACGAAACGAGAACTTTCTTTCGAAATTCAAATCTCGGTATGCGCTCGGTATGCAAAAGTCGGGGGTGTCGCGAATGTGCCGAATGGACGTCGGTGGCCAAGTGTTAAAAATGACAAAACTGATTGAATTTGACTGACCGTCATTTACGGTCAAATTGGTCAAAAACTAGTCAAATTGTCATTTTCAGTCAGTTAGATTTGAAATGAAAATTATATTGTATTAAACCAGCTTTTTTTTGCCCACGACTTCGCCCGCCCGAAATTAAAGTAACAGATCATTATGATTATTAGTTTCAAAATGATTTAAGTAGTTTTTACTAATCACAAAACAACACACATTTTTAACCTATTCCATTCACAAAGTATTTTGTTTGTCTAACTAAATAAAAAATACAATTACAAAACTAGATAGAAATTTTAAGTAGGCAGATGTAATCAAACTGGGTACTGTAGGTGGGCAGCCCTATCGCATGTTGTCATACTGTGACGTACCGCGCGACTGTTGACATTTATTTCAAAAATATGGCCGAGTTGGAATACTGTATAGATAGTATTACCGTGTCTATTGTTAATTTGTAAGCACAATGAATACTGGCCTTATATCCTTAAAAACAAAACACGGCCACGAAAACGAAAATAACACAATCTGCATTTTCAAAAAAAGAATGCGCGATATGACGTACGATGCGTCGCCCTATTTTTTCGGAGGGCTGCAACACAAAGACTTCGTTTCACTTTAAAGCGAGATGGAGCGAAAACAAGGAAACGAAAATTGTAGGGCATTTATTATTGTCCCTTTCTAGAGCGGGATGCAACGAAAACACGCACCCGATGCGTGATGGGTCGCCGACCCACGTGTTTCAAACAATTGAGATCTTAGGTTTAAATGATAAGAATTTTATTGTATCTTTCTTTTATATTATTATTGTTAGAAGAGATTTCTTCTTTTTACCACAATTTGTACTAAGTATTTATAAATGACTAATTAATAACACATATTTTGACTTTACTTATAGGTATTTTTTCTTACAAAAATGTACACATACTCGTAAATAAGGAAAAATCAATCATTTTAAAGAATGCACTTTTGATTGGAGGAAATAATAAATTACTTAGAAAATAAATATTGCTTCCTCTTCTATTATAAGCTATTTCTAATCAACATTTACAAAACTAAAACAATTTGTAATTGTACCCTAAATAATTTATTTTCTGTTTTACTTTATTGGGAAATATCAAAATACCAAGCTTAATGATTTCTTACATTTTAATGTGAATTCCATTCAAGTTGTATTTTTTAATCATTTTTTAACGATTGTTAAGTTACGTTTATTATATGTAATATACGTGGGTACCTATGCAGTAGGTAGGTAAGTACACACATATTAAAATAAATTACCTAAATCTTTTAAAAAAAGCAATTCATCTGCTGAACATAAATTCAAATAAAAAAAATATTTAAACGCGTTTTGTGTTTTTTCTACCCGCGCCAAATAAAATCTTTTTAATTAATAAAAAAAACTTACCTCGCTGGCCAGTGCCACACCAACGCACAGAAAAATAAATCCAAATGAGAAATTCATCTTTATTTTTTCACAAACACTTTTTTACACTGCTAGTACTGGCAGGTACGACTGTCCCACTCGGCTGTCGACGCCGGATTGCCGTCGCTAGCGAAGAAAGAAAAATAAAGTTGCATCTCGCCAGCTGATTGCGACCGGTACCATGTGGCGTGAGAGATTAGCGATAATAAAACGATAATCCGTGGTGGACGTGGTGGTGTGCTGGTAGCGTGGTAGGTACGGCACTGTTGACAAAAAAAAATATCATGTAGTATGTCGCCATAACAGCATTGTGTATTCCGGCAGTTAGAGGTAAGATAGCCAGCCTCCGTGGTTGAGGATTCCGGGTGAAGCTCGCTTCCACCTTCGGCCTGATTATCACTTACCATCAGGTGAGATATAGGTCAACAGCTTCCTCGTTGTGGATAAAAAAAATTGTGAAGTATTTTATTTTAATCAAAGTAGTGTCTTCATAGTCCGTTACTACATTATAATAAGGCCAAATGTTTATACTCGTAGTATATCTCGGAAATATAATGTGTAATAATAATTATGTATTATTTTAAGTTGAGTAACAAATCTGCCAATTCAAATAAACCTATCACTACGACCACATATTGCTACGACTACGAGACTACGGGCGCCGTAGACACGTAGACGTAGCTACGTCTACGGGACCAACGTCGTAGATGCTACGAAAATGTAGACCATAAATTAAATTTACTTAATTTTTTTGTTATTAGACGTTTTATTTTAATTACTAGCTTTCCGCCCATGGCTTCGCCCGCGTGGAATTTTGTCTGTCACAGAAAAATTTTATTCTTCGGCGTCCTTGTTAAAAAACAAAAAAACTATCCTATGTCCTTTCCCGGACTCAAACTATATCTATGCCAAATTTATCAAAATCGGTTCAGTGGTTTAAGCGTGAAAGCTGACAGACAGATAGAGTTACTTTTGCATTTATAATATTAGTATAAATAGTATTTGTTAACATTACTATTTCAATAAATCTTTGTCCCAAACAATATTTATACGAGTTGTATTTGGTTGCATAAAATTGCACAATTTACATGTCACGCTTATTTTGTTGACACAAGTTTAGCATCATTAACTAATGAAGGCAAAACTGACGGTGTATCTTTTAAACGCTGATTTAACATTATGCAATTAATCTTATAATTGTATCCAAATCTAGATTATGTATCAGCGATTGTAGACATGATCTTCACATGGTAGGAACATGATCAAATCATTATGTTACTGATCTCTGTATGTAATCTATCAGTGGCATAATAATCAGTTGTAAAATTATGTCACTCGATCAAATATCTACAAGTAATTAAGTACCTAATGATAAAAAATTTACAAGTTTGTTTGTGTAGAAAGAACTGAAAAAAGGCAAATTTAATAGTCCTTGAAAGTAGACAATACTGTTTTATGAGATAGTCTTTCTTAAACGCTTAGATACACACTGTTTAGTGTAGCAAAAGGGGTCGCGGATATCCCGTTCATTGCCGAATTTTCGAAGGCACTCTGCGGGAAAATTGATGATTTTAACTCTCGCCCTATACATAATTATATCACTTACTTCCTTAAGTCTTCAAAATGTAGTAGGTAGTCCTTTAATCCAATTCATTTCTATTGAGTTATACTCATCAAATTAAATAAATAAATAAATAAATAAATATCCTTGGACATTTTACACTGCGCTTCTAGTCCCAAACTAAGCAAAGCTTGTACTATGGGTACTAGACAACGGATATAAACATACTTAAATACTTTTTTTTGTAAATACATACATATTATACATAGAAATGGAACGATTTAAATGTGGGTTGCACTTGCAGACCAAGAGCTGAGCTAAGTTAGTTCTAGCTCGCAATCGCATAGCTGTCGCAGTTTTTAATAGTTGGGTGCAAACTACAAACTACACAAACAGAACAATACGTTAACTAATATTTAAACGAAAAAACGAAATAAAGTTACGTTTAGGTATTGTTTCTTGGATTTTCAAAATCGAGTAAATACAGGGCAATGCAATACGCATATCATCAACGCACGCGGCGATCAGGCCTACAGTTCGTGAGTGGATTTATCTTTAATTCTTGATTAGATGTCTGGTTTAGGTAATACAGAAACAGCTGGAAATGCGTTTAGGTAACTAGGCTGTATCTAAGTAGGTATAATAAGGTAATATAAGGTGTTTTCCTAATAAATAAAATAAAATTAAAATAATGGAACACGAAGATCATGAACTAGGTATATTTTCAGATTATGAGTATTTCGTTCGATCATTTCAGCCCAATGGAGGACGTCGACTTATAATTCAGATTATTTCGTTCGTTTCAGCCAAATAACGTCTACTGCTGGCCAAAGCCCTTCTCCAAGAATTTATACAATGACGGATCCTGCGCTGCCTGCATAGGGTTACGTTTGGCTTTTTACGGTCTAGTCCGGCCTGTCCGGCTTTTGTTGNTCACCACGCTTGCCCGGTACGTCTCCTATAATACATATCATGGCTTAGTACGAATTCAATTGAATTTGTTATGAATAGGTTTCCTGTTGTAAGAGGATTATTATTAAAAAGTGTCGTTAACCTTTTATCAAAACTTCCTGGATAAATTATAGTTAGTACCTAGTAGGTACTAATTATAACGTGAGAAGATTTGTATTTTTGTTTGTTTGAAACGAATGATCTCAAAAACTACCGGACCGATTTTAAAATTCTTTCAACATTAGAATACGACTCTATTTTTAAGTAACATAGACTTCCCAGCAGACAAAGAAAAGCTAGTAAATAAAAGAAAATACATGAGAAACAAATAGTCGGTGATTCATAACAGATCTATTGTTAATTTGTAAGTACAATGAATACTGGCCTAAAATCCTTAAAAACAAAACACGGCCACGAAAACGAAAATAACACAATCTGCATTTTCAAAAAAGGAACGCGCTGCGTGATGTATGATGCGTCGCCCTATTTTTCGAAGGGCTACAACACAAAGACTTCGATTCACTTTAGAGCGAGATGGAGCGAAAACAAGGAAACGAAAATTGTAGGGCATTTATTATTGTCCCTTTCTAGAGCGGGATGCAACGAAAACACGCACCCGATGCGTGATGGGTCGCCGACCCACGTGTTCCAAACAATTAGGTTTAAATGATAAGAATTTTATTGTATCTTTCTTTTATATATTATTGTTAGGAGAGATTTCTTCTAGTATTTATAAATGACTAATTAATAGCACATATTTTCACTTTACATAAAGGTATTTTTTTTTTATAAAATTCAGCTTAAAATGTACATACTACATACTCGTAAATAAGGAAAAATCAATCATTTAAATAATGCACTTTTGATTGGAGGAAATAATAAATTACTTAGAAAATAAAATATTGCATCCTCTTATAATATAAGCTATTTCTAATCAACATTTACAAAACTAAAACAATTTGTAATTGTACCCTAAATAATTTATTTTCTGTTTTACTTAATTGGGAAATATCAAAATACCAAGCTTAATGATTTCTTACATTTAAATGTGAAGTCCATTCAAGTTGTATTTTTTAATCATTTTTTAACGATTGTTAAGTTATAATATGTTTATTTAATGTATGAATGATGATAATAATATACCTACCTAAGTAGTGGATGGGTAAGTATACTAAAATAATACAACATACAGAATAAAATACACACAACAAATCTTTTCAAAAAGTTAAATTAATCTGAACATAAATGCAATATAAAAAATATTTAAATGCATTGTTTTGTTTTTTTTTCTACCCGCATCAAATAAAATGTTTTTAATTAACAAAAAAAAACTTACTTCGCTGGCCAGTGCCACTCCAACGCACAGAAAAATAAATCCAAATGAGAAATTCATTTTTATTTTTTCACAAACACTTTTTTTACACTGCTAGTACTGGCAGGTACGACTGTCCCAATCGGCTGTCGACGCCGGATTGCCGTCGCTAGCGAAGAAAGAAAAATAAGTTGCATCTCGCCAGCTGATTGCGACCGGTACCATGTGGCGTGAGAGATAGGCGATAATAAAACGATAATACGTGGTGGTGTGATGGTAGCGTGGTAGATAGGTACTGTTGAAAAAAATCTTCTTTTTATCAAATCAGTATCTTTTTATAGTCCGTTACTTCATTAGAATAAAGCCAAATGCTTATATCTACTACGAGTAGGTACATTATTATCTCGGAAAATATGAGTATTATTTTTAGTTGAATAACAAGTCTGCCAATTAAAATAATACTATTACTACGACCACATATTACTACGAGGCTACGGGCCCTGTAGACACGTAGACGTAGCTACGTCTACGGGACCAACGTCGTAGATGCTACGAAAATGCAGATTGTAGACCATAAATTAAATTTTCTTTTTTTTTGTTATTACACGTTTTATTTTAATAATTATTTTAAATTAACTATATGTATTACTATTTCAATAAATCTTTGTCCCAAACAATATTTATACGAGTTGTATTTTGGTTGCATAAAATTGCACAATTCAAAATCTTACACTTATTTGTTGACACAGTAATTTAGCATCATTAACTAATGAAGACAAAACTGACGGTGTATCTTTTAAACGCTGATTTAACATTATGCAATTAATCTTATAATTGTATCCAAATCTAGATTATGTATCAGCGATTGTAGACATGATCTTCACATGGTAGGAACATGATCAAATCATTCTGTTACTGATCTGTCTGTAATCTGTATTAGTGGCATGCTAATCAGTTGTAAAATTATGTCACTCGATCAAATCTGTACAAGTAAGTAAGTACCTACCTAATGATAAAAAATTTACAAGTTTGTTTGTGTAGAAAGAACTGAAAAAAGGCAAATTTAATAGTCCTTGAATGTAGACAATACTGTTTTATAGGAGTCTTTCTAAAACCCTTAGATATTCGCTGTTTAAGTAGTGTAGCAAAAGGGGTCGCGGATATCCCGTTCATTGCCGAATTTTCGAAGGCACTTTTGCGGGAAAATTGAGGATTAAAACTCTCACCCTGTAAATATTATTATATCACTTCCTTAAGTCTTCAAAATGTAGTAGGTAGTCCTTTAATCCAATTCATTTCTATTGAGTTATAC